GTAACTTGAAAATTATTGAGCGAGATAACTGTGCGTGAGGATTCTCAAGAATGCGCGCAGATAAATGACTAAATTGATACCACACCCTCTTATTTTGGAAAGTAGTCTTGAAATTACATTTGCTAATAAACACGAACTGAAGATTGCACGAAACAGACTGAAAGCTACATCTAGTTTTAAAAACTTTCACGTCATAATTTGTGAACGTGTTTTTTTCTAACAGGCGTACAAGCTCTCTAGAGGTCATGTATGGGGTCTGATTACTCTTCTCTGTGCTTCTACGGCGTTTATTTCAGCTGTGCTGGTAAATTGATTTTTATTTGTTTGGGAACGTAGAGTCCGTTCATCCATCCTCTCATGTTCATCCATTTGCCGGAAAACTGCTTGTCCAGCGGTCAGTTAGTTTATCAACCAGTCAGTCAGTCAAACATTCAGTCAGTCAATCGGTCAGTCAGTCAAGCAGTCAGTCAGTCAGTCAGTCAGTCAGTCAGTCAGTCAAACTGTCAGTCAGACAGTCAGTCAGTCAGTCATTTAATCGGTCAGTCAGTCAGACAGTCAGTCAGACAGTCAATCGGTCAGTCAGACAGTCAGTCATTTAATCGGTCAGTCAGACAGTCAGTCAGTCAGTCAGTCAGACAGTCAGTCAGTCAGTCAATCGGTCAGTCAGTCAGTCAGACAGTCAGTCAGTCAGTCAATCGGTCAGTCAGACAGTCAGACAGTCAGTCAGTGAATCGGTCAGTCAGACAGTCAGTCAGTGAATCGGTCAGTCAGTCAGTCAGTCAAACAGTCAGTCAGTCAGTGACTCACTCAGTCACTCACTCAGTTAGTCAGTCAGTCAATCAATCAGTCAGTCAGTCACCCAGTCAGTCAGTTAGTCACTCAGTGAGTCACTCACTCAGTTAGTCAGTCAGGCAGTCAGTCAGTCAGTCAGTCAGTCAATCAATCAATCAGTCACTCAGTCAGTCAATCACTCAGTTAGTCAGTCAGTCAATCAATCAGTCAGTCAGTTACTCAGTAAGTCACTCGGTCAATCACTCACTCAGTCACTCACTCAGTCATTCACTCAGTCAATGGTAGAAGTTCGCCAAAATATGTTTGGGTTAGCTAGAACGGTCAAAGTTCTCGATCGACAGACCATGTGAACCCTCACTTTGAAAATGAAGCCAAGTGCGAAAGCTTTTAGTTAAAAATGGGTTCTATTCAAGCAAGACTAAAAGATCATTTCGTTTTAAAACTTTGGAGTTTCCTTGGACCTAAAACAGAGGGTTTGGGAATCTCAGAATGTTTAATTAACTAAGCTGATGTCGCGCAAAAGATGGAACAGTACCTCTTAATGAAACTTCCTTACAGTCATTACTAAGTGAAGCATACCCCCTAAGATTACATTAATGAATTGATCATGTGGATATTGAACCCGCCAGTCGTTTCAAGAATGCAATAATGAATTGATTATTTGATTATTGAACCCGCTAGCCGTTTCACGAATGCAATAATGAATTGATTATTTGAATATTGAACCCGATAGCCGTATCCGTTTTGAAAAGGCGCGGATTATTGTTTAAATTAGAAGTCCATTTCTGAAGTCCAATAAGATTGTTCTATTTGACGAGGAATCCTGAAAAGGATCAAACTGCACTGTAAAAACACTGCGAAAACAGTCGATCGCAAATATTAACGAAATAAAAAAAGTTTTGCGATGGCTTCGCCTGTAAACTATTTTTTTCGACCATGAATACACACAAGAATTTCTACAAGTTCGTCAACATGTAAATATGCGAAAAAAGCTCTCAATAACATTCCATTTACAACATTTACAAGAAGTTCTACGCAACACTCGAACTCACCTTTCCCCCCATGTCTGACACCATGTTGAATTATAACATAACCAAAGTAAAGCGCGCGCTCTGATTGGCCAATTTAGCGTCCCCCATTTGCCCATGGGTGTACGCTGCTGACGTGAGCAAATGCAGAGACTATTTTTCCGCGCGCGATTGTTTTTTCTGGTCACGTAAGATTTATTGAATAAAAGGGAACTCTTTTGCTACAATGTATCAATGTTATGTTATAAAACAAATGGTAAACACCACAGCGTACACTACTGAGTTATGGATGCACTTGGGAGGTTTGCTAATCACTCAAGAAGCTAGAGTCGCTCTCGGCTATCGCCTCGAGCGACTCTTACGCTTCTTTCGTGCTTAGCAACCTCCCGCGTGCATCCATATCTCAATAGTGTACGCTGTGGTGTTTACCATTTGTTAAATGGTTCCGATCCATCATCACGTGTTCGCATAATCCAATCAAGAATGGACTTCTGATTTGAACAATGATCCGCGCCTTTTCAAAACGAATACGGCTATCGGGTTCAATATTCAAATAATCAATCCATTATTGCATTTTTGAAACGGATAGCGGGTTCCATGTTCAAATATTCAATTCGTTATTGCGCTCCTGAAACGATTAGCGGGTTCAATATTCAAATAATCAAATCACTAATGTAATCCTGAGGGTATTCTTCACTTAGTTTGACTGTAAGTCTAAATAAAAAGCGATTTGTAAACCCTTGTATAAAGGAACTAAAACGATGAAATTCCTTTTCCTATCTTTACCTTAAAACAGGATAATGTGACTGTCATTTTGCTTTTGACTCCAGTTACAGTGACGTAAGTGTATGGTACTTGATTTTTGTTTTTTTCTGTTGTTGATTGTGCAATTTGTCTCTGACTTTGGGCCTTCAAAGGAATGTTTCTCAAATGGGTTCTTTTCATTGCTAAAACTAAAATATTTTCAGGTTGTGTCAAGTCCTAAATCTTAATCCTACATACATCTTGATAGCTGAAGTAATATTTTCGAACATTGGTGGAACGGCGACAGGTAAATATACTGCCGCTGTCTAAACTGAATAATTTATTTAATTAAGTTGAACGAAAGAGTCCAGTTTGACCTTACATCTGCCAATCAGAGGTAAGGTGTGTTTCCAGCCAATCATATCCTTAGACGAAATCTATTTTTCTCACCAGTGGTTTGCTCCAGTTGCATGCTCTCGCCACGCTCGTTAGTGGTTTCCCATTTTCCCGCGCTTGGCACTGGTCTTCCATTTTACCGCGCTTGGTACTGGCTTCCCATTTTCCCGCGCTTGGCACGCGTTTTTCTTTCTGCGCTGAGCACTGGTTTCTCATTTCCCGTACTCTGTCTCAGTTTTCCAATTTCCGCGCTTTCTTAATTTTTCGCCCTTTGCTGCAGTTACACATTTCCCGCGTCTTGCACTGATCATCTATTTTCCCGCTCGTGGATTCAGTTAATTGTTTTCCTTTGCCTTAAAGGGATCCCGCGATATTCGTGTTATTTCGTGACTTTGACTTCGATCCTCTTTGTCTTTTTAGCGTATTTACTTAGCTCTTTTCTTGGCAATTAAAACTTTCATTCATGTTCGTTAAGTTTCCAAACTTTCATCCTCGCAGGCGTTCATTAAATATTTGTTCCTTTATTTCTTTCCTTCTAGCAATCGGTGACCCACCAAATGTTATTTTAGTTTCTAACAAGGACCTAATTAGTCACGTAAGTTACTATGTAATTCAGGTTTTTTTAAACCTAATTTGTTCTTGACCTTTTTGGTCTTCGCTACTTCGCTACTTCGCTACTTCACTACTTCGCTACTTCGCTCCTTCGCTCCTTCATTCCTTCGTTCCTTCGCTCCTTCTTTCCTTTGTTCCTTCGCGCCTTCGTACCTTCTTGTCTTTTAGCCTTCTTGCCTTCTTGCCTTCGTGTCTTCGTTTATTTGTTCGACGTTTCTTCGTTCATTCGCTCCTTCATTCTTTCATTCGTTTACTTATTCATTCATTTATTGTTTCTCATTTCTCACGAACTACAATTTGTAATTTTATGTTAAAGTTACCCAGCTCGTGCGACTTTTATTAAAGTGAGGTTATTCTCCGTCAAAACTATTTTGACAAAACGGCTATTTTATCCTTGCAGGGTATACACTTTGTAGATTTCTTAAAACATCTCGCTGGGGGTATTCTGGTCTGCGTACTAGTGGCATATGTAGTTTTAAGGTATTATTCAAAAATATATTTTCTTGTTGAAAACAATTTCCAGCTGATTATCATCACGCTCAATACTCCTTTCTAAAAGAAACCTTGCTTTCTCTTTAAAGGCTCCTTTATCGAAAAGTGAAAATTGTCAGTGACGATCCGCCAATCATTGAAGGTAACTGTGCTCGTGCTTACTGTCGTGATATTAACCCATCATAGAAAATCCAACTGTCATTAATTTACCTTGCGCACTTTCATTTGAGAATCAAAAGTAATCTTGATGCTAGTTTGCATTGGTTAACTTTACAACGGTCTGATTGATTTAGAAAACTCTCGCCACCCCTTTTAAACCAATCAGATAAAAGACTGACTCGGGACTTGGTTTTACGCGTTTTCCCTTGAGGCCCGTCACATGTTTTTGCTACGAGTTTTCATTGGCTCCTCGGAAGGGTCTTATATTCCCTGACTGGTCTTTTAGATATCATTGACTTTCACGTGCAGTCGAACCTGTAGAAAGCGGTCACCCACGGGGAATGGCGAAACCGCTTAACGCACGTTCCATCGATTGAAAATCGTACTGAAAATGTTTAAGGAGGCTGGATATAGTTTCTTTGGCGCGCGCAGACTGGGTTCTAAAAAAGTTAACGATGAATTCTAAAAAAGGCCTCTTTTCCTTAAACTTTCAGACAGAATTTTTTTAAACTTAACGGTCAAGTAGACCAAGACAGTCAAAGGACGCATGCAAAATCTAACATAAATTCACCGTCCAGTTTTTAAGAAAATTCAAGTCAAGTCTATTTTGGACCCAGCATTATATTGCAAGCCAGCAACGTTGCCATGGCAACGAATATCTTTATTTCAGGGGAAAATGTGATCGCGATTCGTTAAAGCTAAGCTTCGTAATTTTAGTTTAAATATCTTGCATCAGAAAAAAGTGAAAAACTATATCCAGCCTCCTTAAATTCTGCCGGCTTTTGTTTTCTTGTTTTCTTCGCGCAGAGATTAAACGAGAGGCTGAGATATGGAAAAGAACTGCCGATCGCCTGCCACAAATCTCAGCTGAAGAGAAAACTGTCAAATTATTACTGATGCAGAGGGTTATGTTGCTTCAAAATAATGTTAGGAACATGAAAAGAAACTCGTAAGTATTGACATGTCGAAGGTGCTCACCACCCTTTATAGTTCTCTAAACTTTCTGTTGGCACCAAATGTTAAGTGTACATACGGGACTTACTCGTGTAGTTGCGGGAATTAAGCCCGGTTTCCGTCACATTAAGTGAGTAGGCGTTTTGTTATTTCCCTTAGACAGAATGCTAGTTCATTGTTACCTTCCCCCCCCCACCCACCTCTCCCTCCCACTTAGTCTTTTGTCAACTTTCCCTGACTGTTCGTTAATATCCATTTGTACTCTCTTGGGTAGGGAGAGGTATTTTGAGGTGCGATTGATTGTTTTTACTTTGTTAATGTAAACTGAGAATCTCGTCATTGGCATAGACCGAAATGTGCAGCAAATGCTCAGTAGGTTAATTACGGTATATCTCCAACTTTGAACGGAATTGTAGGAGGGTTTGTTAACATTTTCAAGCTTGAATCACAACTAAAAATTAGTTCATTTTTTCATGCTTGAATTTAAACTGAGTAGCAGTAAGTGGTATTAATAACGTCTTTGTCAGGTCCCGGCAAGGAGCTTTTCAACGAAGTCTGTCAGCACTTGAAAAAAAGGTGAATGAGCAAAATAGATGAATCCATGACTAGACAGTTTCTTGACTTAACTGTGTAATCTTGTATTACGTCAAAATCTGCATAGCAGCTTGATTTAGGTGAGGTTTGTGCTTATCATTGGCGTTTGCAAACGGACGGAGAATTATTAGCGATGGCTACAAAGTTCTTCCTTGTCTACTAAATAACCTAATTAAACGATTTATGACTTAATTTGTGTGGAGATTCAAACTTTGTTTTGTGAAATACATATTTTCGTGTTTAGTATGTCATCAGAGACAAAGCGCTGTTATTCAAGAGTCTACTCGTTATTATTCTTGTTGTTGGCGCTTTTTTCGCGGAACCGGCGTTCAAGAAAAGCTTTCATCTTGATGTAGGTAAGTGCTGAATCTATTTGTGACCTCTTCTGCCATCTTAGGAAAATGTAAATTGTCTATCCTCGTCTGAGAGTATATTGACTGAATCTTAACGCGTAACTTATGGGAGTGGCACAAGTTGGTGGGTCTGGTAACCAGTGAGTTAAATATGAACGGGGGATCTAGAGGTTGGTATGGACCAACATTGTCTCTTCTCATCTGGACGTAGGTTACGTTTATTGATACAGAAATTTCTCTCTAGCTGAACCTTTTTTTGTGAAAACCTAAACATTGAATTACCAATTGGTCGCAGGATGGATTGCTGTCCTTGGCGCCATACTTCTTATCTTGCTGGCCGACGTGGCGCACTTTGAAGAAATAATGGAGAAAGTTGAATGGACAACTCTGGTATTCTTCAGCGGACTTTTCATTTTAATGGAGGTTAGTCAGTGGAGACGATTTTGTGAGAGATGCGGTCGACATTTATTGTTCAGGCTGGACTCCCGGTCGAGAGGTCTGGGTTCTTACCATGGACGCTCATTACGTTGTGTTCTTGAGAAAGTTTGTTTACTCTTACAGTGGCCCCCTCCACCTAGGTATTAAAGGGTACCGGCAAACTGTGAGAGAACCCAACAAATTGCTGTTGGGTTACCTGCGTCGCACCAGTATCCCATGGGGGGAGGGGGGGTGGGCGGTGAATATACTCGTATTCCCTTCCTTTTACTAAATTTTGAGATAACAACCGGCAATTATGGGCCTCTTGACCTCAAAAACTAAAGCCTAACTTGAAATTTTGGGACTGGTACTAGCGTGTGGGTCAGGTAATTAGAGGGTTTAATGTAAACGCGGGTAATGAGTATGGAGAAACATCCTCCTTTTTCGTACAGCAATTATCATTAAACATATTTTCCTTTTGTAGTCGCTGAATGAGCTAGGACTCATGGACTTTCTCGGTGACATAACGTCATCATCAATAGAGGTACGTTCTTCCAAAAGTTTATTTATATACCTTTCATAAGGAGAGGCACTTTGGTACCTCCCTAACCACCTTTGTCCTTGGTGCGGATTCTTGGCTTGATGGAGTTTGGACTCATTATTACCAGACCATGCGCAAGCAACAGAAGATGAGTCCTGATACTAAGCTGTGAAGTAAATACCTTGATGTATTAAAATTTCATCAATAACTGTTTTGTTTCTGCTTCAATTCGCCAGCGACTTGCTCCTAGCGATGATCCTAAAACAAAGGTAAATAACTTATGCTCTCGGTAGCCCTTTTCATTTAAAGTTGTCGTTTTATAAAAGTACGTATTCCACGGGTACTATTGGCGATGGCCAGCTTTCAATGAATCCAGCTGACAACGCCTTTTCACCCGTTACAACTATTGACGTATTTCCCCCTTTTCTCAGTTGGAAACAAGAATGCTGGACTGCGCGAAAAAAACAACGCAGTATTGAGGCATAGTGAAATGTGCCACTTGTTTCAACAAAACTCGCCGAGGGTTGAAGTAACAAAAGATTTTATTGACGATTTTCGGAGCAAGTTTTTTTATTAAGATAGTTTAATTGTTCGAGTATTAGCGATCGCAGTTTGTCACCGGTCACGTCCTTGAAACAACTTCTTTTCCCTAGAGAACGCGCCACCACCAGCAAAACAAAGCGGAAGGAGGATATGTTATATAACCGTTTTTCCTTTAAGACAGCGTCATTGAAAAAAATTTCCCAATCCAACTTTTTTTGGGACGGGAAAGAAACTGCTATTTACTTTGCTAACAAGAATATATCTTTTTCTTTTTCAAAGACGAGAATTAGCGAATGAGCGTGGGACAAATTTACCCTCGTGTATGATTTTGTTTCATTTTGTTTTGTTTTGTTTTTCGTTATCAGCGTGGTATTGCGATTATTATCATTTTGTGGGTCTCTGCGTTGGTGTCAGCCTTTATAGACAACATTCCTTTCACAACGGCTATGGTAAGAAATGTATGGTTTGGTCCATGTACATAGTTTTCGCGGGGAACACACTCCAAGGTCTTCATGAGAAGTCACGCCATTATCTGGGTAACTGGGCACCTAACCCCCCTCCCCCCCCCCACCAACCCAACAACAGTCGACTGATAACAAGTCAGGGTTAATGTTGGGTTAAGGGAGGGGTGGGTGCACAGTCGCTTAGATACAAATATTGATCTAAAGCTTCCATCTCCCTCACTTGTTTTGTTGCTGACTTGTTCCCTCACACGATTCTGATGTCATTTCTGGCTGAAGAAACTACTAGTCAAGTTTTTTGTACCTCAAGTAGCTTCCTTCAGTTTGTCTCGCCTAGATAACTAACCCTTTACCCCCGTATCCAGGTTTCTTGTAAGATTGTAGTGCCCCAATGCCCTCCTGCCTTCGCCGCACCTTCTAAATGTTTTCTTTTAGTTACATGCGTATGAAACGTCTTTAGAGGCAGACACAGGTCAAGGTCAGGAGGGTTTTTTGAACAAGATCGCTTTCATTTTCAGATTCCTGTTATTTTGAAACTCAACGCAAATGGAATAAAGCTCGAACCTCTGGTTTGGGCGCTTGCTATGGGGTCGTGCTTGGGAGGTAAGCCTCAAGATAGAAAACAATCATCTGCCTGACGGGTCGGATTCATAGTAAACTCCCGGATTCACAGAGATTGTCACCGCAAAACTTCTAATTTATATATCTTATTAACCAAGCGCAAGGGCCGTACCGGGAGAATATCGGCCCGAGGTCTTGACAGTACGGACCGAGCGCAGCGAGGTCCGTACAAAAAAGACCGAGGGCTGATATTCTTCCAGTACGGTCCCGAGCAAGCTTGGTTAATAAGAGATTTATTACCCGACTGAAGTTCAAAGGGACACAAGTGCGGTATCATTCGGGACCATTCGGGACAGTGCCCGGTCCAATACTTAGAGAATATTGGACCGGTAATAGAGCATTTTGATTGGCTGATTTTAGTTATTGGCCCTCTGACTGCCCGACTCGTGTAATAAATTGATTTATCGCACCTGAATAGTCCTGTTGTGAGGCGTCGGACTACCATGAGGGAGGTGGAGGGTTCAAGCCCCAGACCAGACCAACATTCAGGGTCTTAAAATAACTGAGGAGAAAGTGCTGCCTTTGCTATGACATCTGCAAATGGTTAGACATCATAGTCTTCTCGGGATGATAAACCTTAGGCCCTGTCTGCTGCGTCTTCTCTGTACTGGTTAGGAGGGGACGTTAAAGATCTCACGCACTTCTCGCAAAAAGTAGGGAACATAGCTCCCGGTTTTGTGGTCTGGCCTTGTTATTGTTTATACAGGCCCCAATTAAACCTGAACTTGGCCAGCCTGTCTAAATGTCGCCAATAAATAAGTGAATAGATACATCTTCTTTGTTTGCCCGTTTGACCACGGTTTGTGTTTGTTGCGTTCACGTGTGGATTAGTTGTATGAGTTTGTTTCCTTACAGTAAAAGCATTTTGTACGACTTAAAGTAATCCTCTTCAGTTAACGTAAACGCGTGTCTTATTTTTTTGTTTGCAGGGAATGGCACGCTTATTGGTGCGTCGGCTAACGTTGTCTGTTCTGGGCTTTCAGAGCAGTATGGATACCCTATAAGTTTCTCCACATTTTTCAAGTGAGAAGTGTTATTTATTCTTTATGAAACCACAGGGAATCCAAGCTCGAGTTATGGGTGACGTAACGTCTAGTAAAGTCGCCCATAAATTCGAAAAAGGACGTATGGGGAAAAAACAAAACTAAACGAAAATCGAGGGGGAAAAAAGAATCAGAAAACTCACGAGAAAAAAGCGGCAATGTCACAAACATGAAAGTCGCAAGAACGGTGAATGAGTCTTTTTTTTTCAACTACACGTTTGGGTAAAACCACTTGGGCAAGAAGCTGGCAAGCTGTACAGACCCTTATAGTTCGAGCTTTGACTACCTGTTTTTAAAACTGGACAACCTTTTTTTATTACTTTATTCATGAAAATAAGAGATCTTTGTTTTGGTTTTGTTTTAGAATTGGATTTCTCATCATGCTTGCAACCACAACAACAGCCATGGTTTATCTGTTGATCATAGAAGTTCTCATCAGTAATGAATAGAGCCTTTTTTCACTTTTTATTCAATTTTCAGATTCATCAATTTTACATTAGCTGACCTGCAAATAGCCATCGCCTAAGGCCAGTCAGAAATTATGATTGAGTTAACTAAGTTGACTGTCTAAGTTAACTACCTAAACTAAATTGGATTCAGTGTTGGGAAATGGTCAGTGGTTATTAGCCAAGTCATGTATGATAAAGAGGAGTAGAAACTAGAAGGAGGATGGAATTTTCTAAATTGCCTTCTCAGTGGTCCTCTCGTCTTATTGATTGCCACTTAGAAAGTTACGTGACCTCTTTTCTCTCTCTAAGAGGGAGCAGTGGCGGATCCAGGGGGAGGGTCCGGGGGTCCGAACCCCCCCCCCATCAGACCTGACGCTTACAACTTTGAGACTGCAATTCTTACATCCACAGGGATCGTATATCACTTTTTAACTGGCTGATATTTTTAATTAATGAATCCAAGTAAACGGTAAGCGGCCAAGGAATTTTAACGTGCAACCGCGACTGGTGGGAGGGGGTGTGGGGGAGAAGTAATTTGCCTCAAAAGAGTCCAACAGTCCTTTCTGAATCAAAGTTTGGACCCCCCCCCCAATAAAAAATTCCTGGATCCGCCCCTGGGGATAGCCTTTCAAAACGCCCTCGTCAAAATTCTCTGAAGACTCAGACTTCAGTGGAAGGTCTTGAAACTTGAACATAGAGCGTTAGAGGGTAGTGAAGTAAAGGAAGCCTTCAGTAAACTCTCATACCGCTTATGTCTCTAATGAGTAGAGGAGGGGATGATATATAGCTGATCGTAAACTAAAATTTTTGTGCACATAAACTGAGTTGTTCAGAATTATGAAGACCACAATTCTGCAATATTTATAATGACAAAAATAAAATATTCAGGAGCATTTAAAATAAGAATTCAACTGCTTTATTGGCTATGCCACGAAGCCGTATTTGATAATGAGTTAGCCTTTCGTATCACTTTATACTTAGTTAATTCTTAGTTAGGTTCTCATTCATATTATGGAAATTTAAGGGCAAATAAATGCGCTTTATATTGTGTTTTTCTTTAACTTCTTTTAACTTAGTCCCAGCAACAGGCCTGTTGTAACGCCGGTTTACCGGGGTAAACTTCGTCCAGAAGGCTGTCCAATTGAGTGACGCCAAAACATAAAAAGGAGGCATCTAAACAGAGAAAAGTGAATTTATTGGGGAGCTAATGAAACCTCAAAATAAATTTAATTGAGGATACAAACTGTGACCTATTGACTTGTCCGGCAGGACATCATAGTAACGACACAGGCAGCCCAAGCTCACCACTAGAAAAGCACACGTGCCTCTTACCGTGTTGCGCAACGTTTTATATTTATAAAGGTTTGTATGGGATGTTATTGCGCTATGTTGTTGTTCAACTGCTGAAAGAAAGACTTTCGAAAACGCTTCAAAATGGCCTGAGATGCTAGGAATCAACAAAGAAAACAACAAGGCAATAAGGTAAGTCCATTTTATTTCAAAACAAGACATTTTTTCTCTCTTTTAAGGCAAACCGATAACATCCCATACAAACCTTTATAAATATAAAACGTTGCGCAACACGGTAAGAGTCACGTCCGCTTTTCTAGTAGTGAGCTTGGGCTGCCTGTGCGCTAACTCGCCGAAAACGCTTCGAAATGGCCTTAGACGCTAGGAATCAACAAAGAAAACAACAWGGCAATAAGGTAAGTCCATTTTATTTCAAAACAAGACATTTTTTTCTCTCTTTTAAGGCAAACCGATAACATCCCATACAAACCTTTTTAAATATAAAACGTTGCGCAACACGGTAAGAGTCACGTCTGCTTTTCTGGCAGTGAGCTTGGGCTGCCTGTGGTAACGAGAGCCTGAAGACACATTTTCGTGGTCAGGCGCGGTCTCCCTCGCAGCAGTTTTTTCGGATGTCACGCAACGCTCCCCCGAAAAAACGGCTCCGAGGGAGACTACCTATGGGTCGCCTCCAAATTCGCACAAGCGCGAACGTTTAACCGCTTCGTTTCAGGCAAGCAAAGATAAAAGAGAGACTAAAACATACATTTATATGAGTTGTTTGATCACCAGCGCAGGCCTTGAGAGCTGAACCAGATCGGTGCGGATTGTATGACGTGACTGAGTGGGAGGGCCGGACGGGAAAATGTTTGGCTCGAGGTCATGAAGTAGGAACCAAGCGCCACAAGTTCCGTACGTCATGACCGAGAGCCCAATAATTTCCCCTCTGGCCCGATCAAACTCAGTCAAAAAGCATTTTATGATATGACTACCAAGCGTTGAGAACTTTCATTCAACTTACTAGGACGCGATAGACAGGCACGTGCGGGACAACCGACGAAAAAGATTGTACAATAAAAAAAAAACTTTCCTTTATTTTTTCAACTCAGAAGATGAAACTCATCCTTCATTGAAAAACGCGACTTATTTTCTCATTTCTGAAACAAGATTTTTTTCCTTTTTGGCAGCAAAGCCCTATAATTGCAGGGTCGTTGACCAGTCTGACCTACGCACGTCAGCGTTAATCTAGCATGTTAAACTTTTCTATGGGATTGCGTGAGCGGGGCTGAAAGGGTCATTTGATAATATGATATTGTTCCCCTCCCCTGACAAACCTAAACCGGATCTTGGCCCCAGTCAGAGTTCCTTAAACTTGGAAGATTGCACTCAGTTTGGATCTTCTTATCTCGTGAACGGGTGACCTCTCTCAGTGGCGGTGCGACCTCATAGAACGCAGCTCGCATGTTAGCGTTTTTGTCGAGAATGGAGGATTCCAGACAAATTATTCACATCAAGGTATGGGAAACAGTACAATTACAGTTGTTTTTTTACTCAGATAACTAATTGTATTTTTAAACTGTTCGTTTAAATCGAGCGCGCTAAAATTTTTGCCCTGGTCCCAGAGGTTCTCTTCTCTCTACAAAAATTAGGATAAATCTCTTCTCCCTAAAAAAATCGGCGCCAAGCGCCGACAACGAGCTGCGAAACATTGACGTAAAAACAGGATATTACAATCTTTTTCATTTATTTACTTTGGTATTTGTACTTTTACTGTTCAGCGTTCGTTTCTTTCTTCGCTAGCATAATGGAAGCTTAAAGCTAAAATACGTTTTCCATCGATCCATGTGTTCTTCTATTCAGCGAGTATTGATTTCTTCAACGGGAAAATTTTTTTCCCTTTAAAACCGCATATATTATCAAAACCAGACGCAGAAACTGCGCCCAAAACTCGAGTGGGTGATAATAGGTATCACCTTTGGGCCGGAAAACTTCGTAGGCGGAAGACCATTGAAACCAAAAATTTGTCATCGCGATGAAAATTTCGTCGTTCTTTCGGTTGAATCAAAGCTGGACACTTGATTTGACTTTATAAAGCTTGTTTATCTTTGGAATAGTAACTTCCGACCCTCGTCAAATGAATATTGCATCGACAGCCACTGGTAAGCATCGAAAGCTGAAAATGACATTTCCTGATTGAAAAAGAAAATAGAATAGAGGGTGAATTGTGAATGAAAATTAACGACAGCGCTCAGCTTTAAGTAGTTTGCAGGAGGAATGAATTCGCTCCTATGTCTGCATAATACGATTTATATCTTAGTATATCAGTTCCTATTTTGAGCCCACCCATTGACAAAATAATTCATGACTGAATATTGTCACAAGATCAGAGTAAACACGTCATACCAGTTTTTAGTATCTTGTGAGACTATTTTAAACCATTTAAGTACAGGAAATTAAAGGCCACAGAACTCTGAGGTTTCTACTTTTTCAACCTTAAGAAGAGGTCAATCTGTGCAAGAGTCTGTAAAGTAAAGAATTTTTTCCAACTGATCAGAAAGGCACCGGCTTTAAAAAAAGTACGAAAGTAAAATAAAATCGCAGTTGGTGTTATTTCAGCGTAGCATCGAATAGACTTAAATCTCCTCTTCAGTGCCAGCTTGGTCCTATGGAGAAGTGGAGAAGGAAATCTGGGAACGATTTTCGAAAAAAGAGAAACTTGAATTAAATAATAAAATAGAAAAAAAAAAGGAAAGGAAAATAGATCAGCTCTTTGCAAAAACTCCAAGTTATTTATCAACTTCTGGCTATGATGCATTTATTAGTAAAATGGTGAAGAGAATTTAGTGTTCCAAGAAGATAATACTGATAAGTTTGTCTGTCCCCATAAATTTTTTCCTGCACAATCTAAGGAATCGAAAGTTTGAGGAGACGCTACATGTCAAGTTATCCTGGGTTTTAGAGGGTTATCTAGAAAATTAAAGACATTCAAAGCGTCTTTGTTTCTGTTTCGTGTAATACGTGCTTTTGCAAGATTCCCGCAAAACCCCCGCGTGAAGAGTTCCCAATTCTAGTTCCACAAGAATATACCCAAGGCGTTTGTAATTGGCTATGTTGGTTATTTTTCATTATGATTAACCGGAGATGCATTCCGAAGCCTTTGAAAGAACAATTCACCTGCATGCCAAGTTACTTAAAGCGTGCGGTCGGAAATGTGGTTAGCTATAAATTGCCTAAAAGCCACATAAATCATACATGCAAGTTTAATTCAGAAAAATAAAGCGATAAAATTGAAATAATATGATATTTCTAACCACAACCGTTGTTGTAATAAAGTTATCATCAACAATATCATTTTTCATTTTATGGCATTTAACATTTTAAAATTGTGACTAATTTGACGGAAATCGAGTAATGTACCTTCATGGTTTGTGTGCATTACGAAAAAATCTTGCATCGATCGACACTAGATCACTGTTGAGCGTCTTATTTTTGTGAGAATTTATTTATTTGCTTAAGAAACTTATGATTGACGCGAATGTTCTTCTAAACAACAATAAACGTGACAGGTGAGGAGAGCTTGTCTCCTACAGGGTGTTCAAAATTATCGCATTGAATTATTCATGTTAGCACTCGCGCATGCTAATTCACGAGCTAGCGGAGCGAATGGTGTGGAACCGTACGGCTTCCAACGGCTCTAGTAAGAGAAACACAAGTGAAATTCTCCTCGCTTAATTCATGGGGAGATAAATGCCATACGATCTACCAATCTATACTTTTCAACACGGGATTAGGTACTCTTGAAGGTGAGCAGGATTTGTATTTATTATGCGAACTTTTCTAAACAAACTGAGCTTTACTCGAGGTTTCGTGTCGGAGGATTCAGTAGAAATATTCAGCGATTGATTGGAAAGCGCGCGGTGATTTGAAAGGCAATCCTTAAATGACCTCCCTGTGTTATGTAAGGAGAGCTCAGCTCATTTTAATGAACAACTTATCATTTTTAAAGGCCTAAAAGGTCTCGGATGTTTACCGACTTTTTTCATATAACGTCTTTGTTGACAGATGTTGAGAGGGTAATTTTTTCCTTGAGAATCTCTGCATTCGATACAGCTTACGTCGCTGGTAAACGTTTCGAAATGAGAGGGATAAATTTTAGGTTTATAACCTACGTAACCTGGAAAAATGATTCTGAAAATGACCAAAGAGAAATGAAATTTGAAACCAGCAAACTTGTTGTCTATGTAGAATTGCTCCAAGCTGTTGTACACCTGTGCTCCAACCATTTTGTGTGAATTTAAGCTCTGTGATGGTGCATGTTTTTTTTTTAAATCTCCTCATTGTCGAATAGTGCCTGTAACTTTATACTTGCCCAAATTTTGGAGAACTTTGGCGATGTACTTGGTAAGGAAACTTGAGCTTCCCATGGGAGCTTGTGTACATTGAATGTTGACAACCCGTCAGTTGACGAGAGTACGAAACAACTTGGTTCTTGGTTTTGCACTTCGAAAAATAGTTTTTTTTTTTTCATTCTAACGCAGAAAAATAAATATGCTGCGTTGGAAAACATCGCCAGACCGTGATACTTGATTGATAAGTGGTTACCGATCGTCTTTTAGGTTCGGTACCGTGGTTTCGCGTGTGTGTTCTTGAAACTGACAGCGAAATTGGCGTTGAAAAGATTTCGCTGACGAATGATTTTTTCACGAAATCGTTAGATTTAATTTGTTTAGCCATTTTCATAGGAGACTATTCCGCAAACATAGTCATTTCTTATGCGATATGAATTTTTGTTTAGTGTTTAAATTGAACAGCTTTCAAGCTTACGCAAGTTAAGCGTTCAGCTGTCGAAGGAATCAGTTAGAGGTTCATGTAGATCAAATGTTAATTTCTGGTTCTTATCTTTCCACGGCTGTTTTTATCGGTCCTATGGTAAAAGATTTTGAATCTCTTGTTTTATTCCTTTGGGTAAACAAACAGATTTTAAAGGCGTCTTTTTTACACTGTTTAGATGTCAAAATACAGTTTAGATGTATTATTTCTTGTTATTGAAGCGTGTCCTTGGAGTGTTGATTTAGTTTTGAAAACAACTACAGTTCATAAACACACATCAAAAGCGAAATTCATTTTCTATTATATTCTTTTGGCATGCTGCCCCCGCTTCAAGTAAATACAAATCTGCATACACTTCAGAAGAGATACATTTATCACGATGCATATATATCAAGGGGCACTTATTAAGTTATTCTTTGCTGAAAAGTTTTTACCAGTAAAAACTCGTAAAAAATTCTTAATTTCGTCGCCTGTCGAGCGAATTTTGTTATTTAACTTATCGTAAGATTTCCTGAATGTGATAGCACGTACCCCACCGCTTAAGGATTTTTACTTCAAATTCTCTCCTGCATGTATTGGTTTCTGTCAGTCACAATGTTTAATTTTTACCCAGGGAAAAACAAAAGACTGTTTGACCGCACACTTCTATAACACCTCAGGCACCTCAAGTAAACAATAGAGATCTCTTAATATATAAATCGTTTTACCTGGGGCTTGTACCAAACTAGATCTTAACACGAGTATTTTAAAAGGACTTTGCAGACGTCAGCTCACTCCTTGCAAATGTGTAGCATTCCTGGTGGACATTTCTATCACTAGCATTGATTCAGTAGACCAAGCTCTTCCTTTAATTATGTTATGTAAAGTTCCTGTTATTCTGCATTCAATGTTGGTAAGTTTTGAACATACATGTATCCGTGACCTGCAACATATTGATCAATATTGTATTATTTTTCCTTTTTCAACCTGATTTTGTGCAATACTTAAACTTTGATTTTTCAGCTAAACCTTTTTCAGTCAGTCACACCTTTTAAAATAATATTTTGAAAATTGTTCCTTATTCAGGTGACACTCTTTGTAGTAAACTTGCACTCCCTAAATTTAACCTAGTGATAACTATCTAAAGTGGTCAAGTTATGTAAATGGATACCTTGCTTTATAACCACACAGTTTACATAGTAAAATTTTATCTTTCAATGTGCTGTATGTTTGCTGTAAAGCATAGTTACATTAATCAAGCAGATACATACCTCTGTTTCAAATGGGCTGTTGTAAGTGCAGTCACTAGCTGTTCTCCTTTGACAGTTTTTTTGCATGAAATATAGCATTTGGTGGAGAATCTACAAAATGATATCCACAAACTGAGCAAGAGTACTAGAGGCTATTTGCAAGATGCTTTGCATTACTCAAGCTAGCTTGGTTAAACATGGCTCAGCCAGTGAACCCAAATGCAAGAAAAATGCCTTTTCTAGTAGCTAAGATTCCAGTTTCTCACCAAGTTGGGCTTGTCCTGTTGTAAGATAATGTGAAGTGAAGTTTTCTCTCTTTTAGGATTTTTATCCTATCAGCAAGATTTTGACAAACCAGGTCAACTCTAAGTACTTGTAGAATTCGAAGATAAAAAAGACTATCTAGTACGGATAGGGCATTGCATTGATTTTCTGCTGAAGTTTGCACTTTGTGAGGTCTTCATCAGGAACTGATATAAATTTGTCCTTTTGTGTTATGAATAACTATTCCTTGCATTGGCACCCCATAAGAGTTCAATTGATAATTGGTATAAATATAACATGTTGTGAAATCATGACAAAACTGGTTTGAAATTTGATTACTTCCAGAAAATGTGTCGATCCCCCAAAAGCATTTACTCTCCTTGTTGATTAAAAGCTTTAAATAAACTTATGACATCGTTCTTAATTTAGAGGTAAGTAATATTAACAGTTTTTTTTTATATTTTATAGACTTGAAAACTGCAGGCATGCATGCATGTTTAAACTGTAACCTGTCTTTGTCTCTTTCTTAACCAGTCAAAGTAAAAAAATAATGCAGCAGAAGCCATAATTTATAAAAGTTTGCAACAAATTTTTCAGTGTGGTAGTTAACTGAACCTGAATCTCCAAGCAGTTGTCCTGCATAAAAGTAGTCTATGAAGTTTTGGAGACCACAGGCTGAGCTGCTTTCTGAAGATGACAAAACATTTCCACAACTTACCAGAATTCATGTGGCCTCTTCTGTAGGAATGGCAAGTATTGCTTAACACTTTAAATCCCAGAACTAGTGATTAAACTGTAAGGTAAAGTGTTCACGAGCCTAGTGGCCCATTAGGCCAGTGCTTAACTCCGGTTTCTGTAGCATGAAGCAACTAGGAGTATTTCTACTCCCCCCTGGATGGGATGCCAGTCCATCACAGGGTTACCCCCCAGCATTAAATAGCCGGTACCCATTTATACACCTGGGTGAAGAGAGGCACTGTGAGGGTAAAGTGTCTTGCCTAAGAACACAACACAATGTCCCGGCCGAGGCTCAAACCCGGACCACTCAATCCGGAGTCGAGCGCTCTAACCATGAGGCCACCGCGCCTTCACAATTAAACTGTAACTTCTCCCAATAATATTTATACATTATCCAGCAAACAGGTAAATGATAGTACTCACACTTATCACATAAAAGTTCATAACTTGATCTATCACCAAATTCTGGTAAGTAATTTACAAGGAAACATCTAACAGAAAGAGGGGACAAGTAATAATCACATCTTGGTAGTTAAAAACTCGGCATGTATAATTGTCACAGTAAAATCTGGTTGATTCTAACACCAAAGGAGAAGTATTGTGATATCATTAGCTTATAATGTATGTGTACTTTTAGTAATTGCTTAGTTTTTGTTACCTATAAATACACATAATTGTATGAAAAATTTGTGATACCTAATTTAGGATGAAGTAATAGTACTTGTCAGCCCTGATTACTAATTATGAAAATGATAATGATGGCAATGATAATAATAATAATAATGATTATGATAATGATAATGATAATGATAATGAATGTAGTATTTGAATTTTTGGTAGAATTGCATAATTTATTAAAATTTTGCATACTGATTGGTTAATGAAGCAAGGTTACTTTAGAGTGGAATTGTCAGTTGAAAACAAGGCTAAGTAATATTGTTTGGCATCTCTTGTTAGGCTCTCAGGTTAAAAACAAACAATATTATTGCCATTTTCTCTTTTACTTATTTTTATTCGTTATTCAAAGAAAGTCCATGGCCTGATTGATAAATTTGGTGTTAAATTGCATTTGAAAACTGATATTGCACTCATTGCTGTGTGGTTCATGCAATGCCAGGTTTGCATGTAATTCAATGTGGAATTCCCTCATCAGGTAATGAATGTTCCTTTAACATGGGTAGACAATATAGGCATATGGGTAGACAATATAGGCATATGGGTAGACAATATAGGCATATGGGTAGACAATATAGGCATATGGGTAGACAATATAGGAATATGGGTAGACA